GTGCTGTCCAATTGAATGCGGTGCGATGTGGTTAATATCTATACAGTGCGGTGCGGTCCGAACCGCACCGATGCCCATCCCTACTTTCCAGGTCCACTTAACTTTTTCATCAAGTGGTGTAAAACGATCTGGAACAACAACAAAAGGCTGGGCTTGTTTTTTCTCGATGGCTTTCACGAGAAAATTTATTAAAAAATAGAACTAAAGTTGGGCATCAAAATAAGTCTATTGAAGGTTGGGCTTGATTTTTCTTCTTGCAATATCGGTTTATTTTAATAATTGATATTTTCCTTCTCATTGATAATAACCAACAACTTTAACATATTCTAAGAGAAACCTAGATGACGCCACATCCCAATCCACAAGAACATAGTACAAATTGATAACACTACACAATGCCATACTAATCCTCCAGATTGAAGCAAGTCAATCGAAGGTAAGGCAACTACTTCTCACATCCCAATGACATAATTTATTTTAAACATTAAAAAGGAAACACATAAATTATACGACTGGGCTTGCTGGCCGAGCAAATGGTGGATGGGCTGATTAGTTCAAATGGGCTGAATGTTGAGGCCCAGCTGTTCACCTAAACAAAGCCCAAAACCCAAGTTAGCTTCATTGAGCCTCACAGGATTCGAAAAGAAGAATAATTCTGAAGAACAACAGAGTTGGAAAATTTCTATATTTCCAAATGTACTAAAAAAAAGAAAAGAAAAGAGAGTTGGAAAATATTTACCAGAAACCAGAGTTAGGACCTCATTGAGGCGGAGGAACAGTCATGGCCACAATGGGGCTCGAAACCACATGTCCGTGCTGATCAGTCCACCGCAGAAAGCAATAGACCTTTTCCGGGGAATCTTCTTCGACGTCCAAAGTGACCGAGAACTTCTTGGTCTCTTTGCGGCAATGAAACGACAGCCTTTTCGGCTCCACTTTGATTCTCATCGTCGGCGGGACGTTTTCCAAGGGTTGCTCTGTAAACAGACTTTCCCTCTCCCACATTGGTTAGAACCCTTCTAAACTTCACCGTTCTCCCCGGACCCTTGTCTCCAACCTTGATCGTCGTTGTAGTCAGAGAAGGGTAATTCAAGTCCTCCACTTTCAATTCGGCCCTGCAATGCCAACCGCGCTGCCTCAAGATGGCGTTGATTTGCTTCTCCGTGAAATTCTGGCCGCACAGAAAATCCACGTAATCCTGTGTTCTGAGGTCATAGACGAGCCCCGGATCCATGGCCCTCTTTAGATCGATATGACCAGCCCCGAATTCGGTCGGGGTCATTGGTTCATCTGTTTGTTGTTCAGTGAAAATCTTACCGGTGTTGTCCACAACATAGGCCGTGGTCATCAGAGCTGATCTAATGGCAGCCGGGGTCCATTCAGGATAGACGGACTTGAGCAGAGCCGCAGCACCCGCGACGTGTGGGGCCGCCATGGATGTGCCAGTCATCAGGCCGTAATCCGTCACCACGCTGTATTCTCCAAGAGATGTGTATGGACGTTCGCGGGAGAAGGCTGCCAAGATTTGGTGACCGGGTGCCAAGAGATCCGGTTTCAGAATGCTTGGATTGATCGCGTCTGGCCCTCTCGAGGAGTAAAGGGCCACCTTGGGAGCTGGTGTGCCACCAAGTTTGGTCAATCGAAACCTCAAACTCTGCACTTTCGCTCCCCCTGGAGAACAAGCTATGTAGTTCCGCACTGTATCCCCTGACCCTTGGGACAGGGCTATCATTGGGAAGTAGCCCTCGTCGGGGTGAAATAATGTCTCTGGATGATTTGTCACCAGCAATCCGCCAAATGCCCCTGAATCAAGAAGGTCTGGTGCCGTGTGCATCCCTTCCGGGTCAACGTCATCAAAGAGGACAATCTTCCCAGCAACCTCTGATCGATTTAGCGAGGAACTGCCACATCCGAGCTTTCTCTGGCAGTGGTACAGCGGAACATCAGCAGCGAAGATGTCGAGTTGGAAGAAGGAATACCCTTCAATCATTGCTCCGTTTGACAGAACGATTTGCGCTGTGAAGCTCCTGTCGACGGTGCCGGCCCCCACGGTCGTGATCCACGGTGCTCCATTTTGGAGAGCCCAGCGATCTGGATTGTTAGCAGCCGCTGCAGCCACAAAAATCCCTCTGTCTACCGCGGTAAGCGAGGGCATGGAGATTGCATCTTGATACGGAGAAGGAACATCGACGCCGATGGACAAAGATATGACATCAACGCCGTCAGCCATGGCTTGGTCGAACGCTGCCAGCACATCCACACTAGATGGATTTTCACTTTCTGAATTGGCCACTGCGTAAATAGCAATGTGAGCACGAGAAGCAACTCCCCTGGCTGTGCCTTTCGCGTGGCCAGAATAACTCGCGCCTGGGACGAAGTTGCCTGCAGCTGTTGAGCATATATGAGTCCCATGGCTGAAGGACTTGTCGCTTGCTGAACCGGGGCCTACTTTAGTTCCTTTGAGGAAGAATCGAGACCCAATCAGCTTCCGGTTGCAGTACGAAGGCTTGAAGTGGTCTGCCTCTTCGCACTTCCCCTTCCACTTCTCTGGAACGGCTGGCATACCTTGGTCATGGAAGCTCTCGCTTGATGGCCAGATCGTTGTGTCGATAACTCCTACGATCACTCCTTCGCCGTAAGAGGAATTCAGCCACAACCCCGAGTCATGACTCAGCCCGATGAACTCCGGAGTGTGGGTAGTGAGGAGCTTCCCGAATGTCTCCGGATAAGTGGCAACATGGGCTGGCCACGTCTCTATCTCGGAGAGTTGAGCTTCTGTCAATCTACAGCTAAACCCATGCATAACATGAGTGTAGCTGTAGAGGAACAGCTCTTCGTCGGCTATGGGGTTTGCTAGTGATTGTAGGAGGGAAAAGTGCCATGATTGGTGGTTTGGGAAAGGTGAGGGCTTCTGGAGATCATGCTCCAGCTGGACAATGTAGGTTTGGTGTTGGGGATGAGGTTCTGCGTGTGCTGTAGCATAAGAGAGGATGGACAGGAAGTTGAGAAGAAGATATAGAGTAATGGCAGCCATTATCAAAGAATAAAGATGGTTGAAGTTTGAGGATTGAAAAAATGAGGTTCAGTTATGATATATTTATATGCAAGGTGGCACAAAGCAACCTTGGTAGTAAGAAAATGTGGGAAGGCAGGAAGACTATGTCATCTGTAAATGGGGGGAAGTTATGTTTAGGTCCAAGGAGTGTGATCTCATAAACAGGGAAGGCAGTTGCAGCAGGTAGTAGCAAAAGATTGCAGAGAATCAGAGATGACAGAGTGACACAAAGCAAATTGGTGAGAAGAAAAGAAGGGAAGGCTTGAAGACTGTGCCATCCCCAAATAAAGGAAGTGCTTGGTAGCAACAGAAGAATCCAAGATGATGATGATGGTGTGGGAGAAAGCCATTTTGGTGGGAAGGCTTGAAGAATGTGAGCTTCTGTAAATGGGGGGAAGTTGTTTCAAGGTGGAAGGAGTGTGATCCCCCATCCCCATATAGGGGAAGTAGTTGCAGATAGCAAAAACTTTTAGAGTATCAAAGATGATTCTGTGATGTTAAGAGACTAAGATCCTTCCATAGCAGCTCAATTTCTATTTTTCTTTTTAATTTTAGTCTTGTTACTTCCTTTCCTTGGTGGTGGACTGGTGGGAAACGTTGCCAGGTGGAAGGTGGATCACTCATCCATAGTAACCTACGTTGCCAGGTGGCAGGTGGACTCTCTCTTTTTTTTTTATTGTACTTGTGACTTTCTCTTTTTTGAGTTTTTCCTTCCCCTTCCGATTCGCCCTTCTCTGTCTCCGGTCATCTTCTCCGTTGGCGGCAAGGGGATTTGGGCATGGTGGTGGGTATTAATTTGGGGTCAGGGTCGGCGGCCCCACCCACACCTCGCAGAAGACTTCTCTCTCGTTTCTTGGAGAGGACAGAGTCGGTGAGCGACAGGCGACATGCGACAAGAGGTTGTGAAGGAGAGCTGCTAATCACTTCTTTGGTGAGTTATATCTAGAAAATTGTCTCTCCATTCTATTACTTTAGTACGTTTTCAGTTTTTTTTTTTAAATCTCAAATTGTACGCAGAATATGGCTTCTCTTCTCAAAATTTCTCACTAGGTTGTTGTCTAGGTGAGTCGATTTAACCCAACAAGGCAACCATGGTGATCTTCCGTCTCAATGCTTTCAACCTAAGAGCCAGACTCATTCAATTTCCTTAAAGACAAGGCCAGATCCTACAGCAGCAGGGTAGATGAGGAGACGATGAACTGCAGTCTCAGACTTCTTACTCATATTTTTTATGATGAGCCAGCTGCCAGAAGGGTATAAAAGGATTATGCAGAGTGGCGGGGTAGATATTCTTTGCTACAAGTCTTCAACAGGGTCTTCAAATTGAAGTCTTAAAGGTACGTACGATAGTTTCAAGCTCTTATCATCAGTTGGTGGCTTTAAAATGTGATACTTAACTGTTATATATAGGATAGTTAATTAAGCTGTTATCTGCTGTTCTTCTCACAGGCTATAGCAAACTTAAACATGGATTATAAAGTTGCCCAAGTGGTGCCAGAAAATGGAGGAATTACAATCTTGTCCAATTTTGTGAGATCAAGTAACAAATTCATAGTGGAAGAGGCTCTTGGATGGTTTTGGAACCTTTCCCTAGGTGAAGAGTTCAATGTTGTGAAAACTAGAATCGAACAAATACATTGACGATTATCTCGATCATCAAGGGGAATCGGTTCATATACTAACAATTAAGCTGTTTTCAGGGGGTTGATTTCTGAGACTGGTGGTTCAAAAGCTTTTGTTGATACTCTTCTCGGCGAAGCCAAGCAAAGAACTGCATCTTCTTCTTTTGCCTGCCTGCTTTTCTTGCCCAAGTTGGGATTTATTTCACTTTCCATGGGTCATCTCTTGTCAACAAGGGTAATTGCCTTCGTCTTTGCTTCTTTCACTTTAAGCGGGGATGCTGCTGTCGGTTACATCTCATGATCATCGTTCTTCCGTCCTTTCTGCAGGAGGCAAGTGCACTGGTATTGGTGGGTGGGAGAGCCACACCGCGCCTGTAGTGATTTTCTTGATTACATCAATGAGAAGTTGGATCCACGCCTACCTCCGGCTTAACTTATGGCCTGCTTCTACATAGGTTCTTTCTCTCCCATCTTCTTCCCCTCTTTGTGTGCTTGGGTTGTTTGAGGAGAGAATGCAACTGATCAAACGGCTAATGTCTTGCTCCTCAGACATAGTTATTCCCTTCGTCGTTTACTGATACAAATTAGTGGTGACAAAAATTTGTCCTTGGAAATAGTTGCCCATTCACAATTTTAGAGTGCTGGTGGATAATTTTAGAACTCAGAATCTTTGCTGGATAGATTGGAAGCTAGGTTTGTCAACAATAACGAGATGCTGATAGTTAAACGTCTGTGTTGATTTCATAGGAGTATTTTGTTGTTCTGCTTATCCTTTTAGATTTGAGCTTGTTTTCTGCTTTCTTTAAGATTCTTGGTTCAATGGTGAATTTGAAGTCATTTAGCCGAGTAAGTGGGTGTTTGTTTGGTTCTTCACTGTATCTGGGTGATGAAAACAAAAATTAGACTTCTTTGGTTTGAATGGGAAATGTTAGCTCATATGTGAATGAACTTACTTTGTTTGGAACTACCCAACAAAGAAGTTTGATGGTTTTTGTTAGGTTTTCCTGAAACTTCAATGGCCTAACTTGTAAGCTCTCGGCTAGATCAATTTCATATGCATTTACATACCTGCTCCTACCTGTAATTGTTTGTAGCATCCATATAATGAACTGCTTACTTAATGATGACAAGTGATTATCATCATAACCACTCTACTTCATTCAGCTTTGCTGTTAATCTCATTCTGTTCTGTTTGATGATAGAAATCATCAAAAGATGGCCGGCTCTGTGTGTTCTCGTACAATTTAATTTAAGGCTGTTTGGTTAGGGAAGGCAATGGGATTTGTCGTCTGAAAACAGATGCATGTATTTTCACCACTTCCAATCACACCACAGAGTTGTTTTTTATTTTCTACTATTCATACTTATTTCTTTCCACTATCCCTCTGACCTTAAACGTAAGACTTATTAAGATTCTCTTTTTTCTTGCTTTTGAAGTTGCAACTGCAGATGGGTTAAGCCACCACATGGAGTTTTCAAACTGAACACGGATGCTGTGTTTAATAGCAGATGCGAAGTGGGACTTGGCTGCATTTTTAGAGGCTGGAGTGGGAGAGTCATCTTAGCAGTGAACAAAAAGAGTATTCAGAGGCAGTGGTTGCCCGAGGTAGCCCAAGGGATGGCAGTTGGGTATGGACTTCAGAAGATGATGGAGGCTGGAGTAGGACCTGTTATTGTTAAGACAGCATGCACCACCGCTGCCCCATATAAGGGAAGTAGTTGATAGCAAAAGCTTTCACTGAGATTTACAGGAAATCTAGTCTATATCAGTAAGTTCAGTATCACTCTATGTCTGCACTCCGTCTCCCTTCCTGTGATATCCACGGATTTATGTTTGCGATCATTCTCTCAGGTATAATAAAGACTTGATTGAAACTCCAAGCCAGCCGAGTGAGGAAGCGAAAGAGTTGAACTTCCCAACGAAGTATTCCCAGGCATTCTTTAAACAGTTCTTGGCATGCCTTCGGAATCAGAATTTGTCTTACTGGTGAAACTACACCGCAGTTCGCTTCTTCTACGCTGTCGTAATCTCCGTAATTCTTGGATTCATCTGCTGGAAATTCTGCTCCAAGAGGTCTGTCCCTGTACCTCGAGGCGCAATCTCTCTTTTCCCTCACCCTGTCATCAAAATCGCTGAAATATTTTACCTTCTTTTTTATCCGGGAAACCGTGCAAGAACAAGTTTTGGCCAACTCTAAGCTGTGAGAAATCATCAACCTGCGAAGTGAGGGCGTGTACAGATATCTCAAGCTCAGCAGCTGTGTGGAAGAATCAATAGCTTGTTTGCATGTTCTGAGACTAATCAGGCATTTCCCCTCTTGTGTAGCCTGAAAAGTTCTTGATGCTGCCGGGAATTTGAAGGTATCAGTCTTTCAGAGTCTTGCTCCCTCTTTTTCCATGTTTTTTAATTGATTTTTTTCTTGTCATCGAACTCTGATTGACATGAGAATATGGAAATGACAGAGTCTAAGTAATAGTTGCTCCATCTTAAGTTAAAGGTTTGTACTTGGATGGTATATTGATGAAACTTCGAATTGGGAACTTGTAGTTTCTGTAATGTATCAGTAACACTAGAATCCTTGTTTTCTGAAAGACTGAAATAATCGTTTGGTAGTTTGTAATTATCTGGTTTCTGAAGTTTCCAATGACTATGCATGCCTTTTAGATTTCATATTCGGTGTTTTCCAAAGATATTGCATATGTTGATCACCTATTCAATTCAGGTTGTTGATTATTTTCTTAACCAGTGACAGGTTAGAGAATTTAAACGCAATTGTTTGCCATCGGAGTACCTTAAGGCAAGTTCTTATTCTATCATCATGTTCGTTTCTTTTTCCCCTAGATTCTTCTTTTGCTGAAATTATTTCCCCTAGGTTTGTGCAGCGGCATTGGGTATGACTTTTGGAATCATGTGAGCAGTTCTTTTCATTTGTCTTGTTCTTGAGGTCAACCATGTTTCTTGCAGTGATACAGACATTCGTATGACATGACAAGAGCTAATTGATTGTCTTGGAACTATTGCACAGAGTGGTACTGCCAAGTTTCTCAAGGCATTGAAGGTGAAGTGGATAGTTATAAGAAATATGATTTCATCATTCTTGTGCCTTTCAACCTTGTCTAACTATTTGGATATATGTTGTTCACAGGATAGCAAGGATGCTGGAAGTGATAACAATCTAATAGGTCAATTTGGGGTCGGTTTTTACTCTGCTTTTCTTGTTGCAGATCGGGTATGGTGTCCAAATCCATTTCCCCGACATTCAAAGTTCAAACCTTGAAAGAGCACTCTTTCGAACTTGCTTTCTGATGCATCTTTAAAATGTTTGAAGGTTATTGTCTCAACCAAGAGCCCAAAATCAGACAAGCAGTATGTGTGGGAAGGAGAAGCAAATGCTAGCTCCTATACTATAAGAGAGGAAACAGAAGCAGATAAGCTCATTCCTAGGGGAACCCGCCTTACTTTGTATCTCAAGGTATGTATTCCTGTTTGCAAGTGGTTTTCTGAGTTTAAATTCTTATTGACCTCCATTCTTGCGTCCTCTCTTTCCACTTGTATCTCAAGGTTAGTTTCTCATCATGGTTTAGCTCTAAAATTCTACTTTTGAAATTATTTTGTGCATCGCTCTTTTTTTGTGGTGGGATCGCTCTTAAGTTGCTACCTTCTTAAAAATTATATGAGGAACTATGCGAAGCGGGTTATTTTTACTTAATGTGATAAAGATCAAGAGAATATTTGCTTTTGTGTTTCAGGTTGTACAGCGGCACAAATATGCTCGATTACTTGTGTACTTTAACTTAATTTGCATAATTTGCTCTTGATCTTGGGATGGTAAAGACATCCACAAAGGTCTGCAGATTGTTGCTGAGATGAATGTGAAATTAACAACTAATTTATCAACTCTTGCAGATCCTCTAAGTGAGTTGGCAAGTAGGGAGAAGGAAGCTGGGGAATTCCCAGTGACCTGGTCTTTTCATGGTTTTGGATATTTGGACCATTTTGAACAAGTAACTTGGAGTTAGCAGTCTTTTTTTGGAGGAAGTACTTAGCATCACAGTGAATAAGTAGAAGCGAATAACTGTTGTTTCCAGTTATTTAATCTTTTTCAGGATCTTCTTGTTAATCTAAGTTTATGTGGCATTTGCTGCCGAAAGTTGTTCTTGATACAGCCAGGTGAGGTTATTAAGTTGTTTTCCTAAGTTGATGTGTTTCATGATGTGATACAGAATTGTATGAGTTTAAGACCTCTCCATGATATAAAATGAAAATATAGGAGCTAAGTGTGTAATTACTCATGCTAGCTAGCTTTACTACATCTTGTCTGTATTTTCCTTTAGTTGAGTTTCAGTTATCTTGAAGATATAAGTTGTAACATTGGATTGGATGAGGGAACAAATATGTTGGGAATCAGCTGCTTTGCTGAAGTCGCCCTCTTGTTTAGTTTTCATATCTGGAATGAATTTGGCAAGTTTTGAATAATGAAGGAAGTTGATCTTTGTTGCTTTAAAGGTTCTGACTGGATTTGGTGGAATAAGGAGCTAAGAGGGATTGCAAGTGGGAGTTATGAGCTTTTATAAGTGGTTTGAATGGGTGTATACTCTGGATTGTATGCTTATTAGTACTAGAATTGAATGATTTTTTATTGATGTTTTATATTGTTGATTTGGTAATTCAAAGTAGTACATTTTATCAAATGAGATTGATCTTCTTAATTAGTGGGATATGAAATAACAATAGGTCAGAGCTGTGTTCATTAGAGCAGGTGGCTCTTATAAAAATAGCCATTAACGATGGCTGGTAGCTGTTAGTGACGGTTGGAACTGTTAAATAATTTAATGTATTTCAGAAATATTCATTTAACCACGGTTTGCTTGAAAGATTGTGTCGGTTCTAGGTGTCACTAAATTTTACAAACAGTACATGTTGACCAAACGTCGCCAAAATTTTTTAAGGATAGTGGGGTCAGGGGAGTGGTTAGCGTGACTACCCTTTCAAGAGGGTTTGATTTTTGACACCCTTCTTAGATACCATCCATCTAATCCAATGGTAAGTATTAATCACCTGTTTTTTAGACATTAATTACATAATTAATTTCTCTCACCATATTGAAAAAGAGAGAGAATATGGGGAAAAAATGATTATCACCCCCAATTCGAAACCCTTTTCTTCTCCCCCTTTTTTCTCTCCCTTTCGTTTCCTCCTCTCTCTCTCGATTCCCTCTTCCCCTGCTCGCCGTCGTCGCTTCTTCACCGCCACAGTCCACATCTCCCTCCGGCTCTGTCCCACATCCTCCATCGTGGGCTATGTCTTAGATCGTGACTGTCGCTGTTCTTCGAGCAATGCCAAGCTTGTCGTAACTCTCCATCTCCTTCCACAAGCTTGGCACTGTGAAGGGATCGACGGAGAAGACAATGATCATCCTCATCTTCCCGGCAAAGATGACGACCCGTCTCCCCTTCCTACACTAGCCATCCTTCCCTTCCCAGCGACGACGACGATGAAGAATCTGAGGTAACTCTCTCCGTCCCACTATCTCTCTCTCACATACCCAGATCTGGGTTTTTGGTGTAGAACTGGTATTGGTACCAGTGAACTGGTAGTTTATGATTATACTCATATGTGAGTACTGGTATTGGTACCAGTGTACTGGTAGTTTATCATTATCCCGGATTTTTCTAGATTTGTGATTTTTTAACTATTCCTTATCAGTCTAGTTTTTCTCGCTCATACCCACTAAGATGTGTTTTTTTCTTGTGGTAATGTTACCACTACAATGATAATTGTAGTGTTTGAGTTTTTGTTGAATGTTATTACAGTGGTATTTGTACCAGTGAAGTGATGTGTCTTACCAGTCCAGTGGTATTTCTATTAGTGAAGTAATATGCTTACCAGTGCAGTGGTACTTCTTGCAGGTGCTCAGAGGGAGTCAGTAGGTGCAAAAATGTACTGGTAATTCTACCACTGTAGTGATAGTTGTCTTATTTATTGATTCGTATTTCTATCACTACATTGATAGTGCTAATTATTGTCTACAGAACTGGCCAAGACGAAGAGACCGTATCCTTGAGTGCCTAGAGGGAAGAGGCATGGAAGCTATGTGTTTTGTAATGAAGAAAATGGGTTAGGTCAGGATCATTTCTCGAGTGCGGGTACCAGCAAGAAGCGATTTCGTGAAATCCAGGATAATGGACAACAAATTAGGGGGAAGAGGAAACGTACTGATTATCTTAGCGACAAGAAGTGCAGCCCCAACTCTATAATTCAAATTATGTTTTTCCATTGCATTCCCCAAGTGACCCAGTCATCCTTCGACACATGATTTATCGTTATTTAGGCTTCGAACAAACAATTTCCTAGTGACTTCATTTTTGTTTATTACATTGGCTGGATATTATTTGTTATTTCCATTTCCCTTTTTTGAGAACACATTCTTCTCCGCGGTTAGTGGTGATACTAATGGAAAGTTGCTTGTTTGTTTGCGTATCAGATTGGTTGTACATATATACTTTAAGTAGTACACGTATTTGTTAAGTGGTTCATGTATCAGTGCAATGATATGTGTGTCAGTTCACTGGTATATCTATTAGTTTAGTGATACATGTACCATTTCAATGGTACCACTCCTAAGTATATCTAACACTACAATAAGAACATTTAGGATGAGTTTCGATTTTTCTAATGATACGAGTACATTATATCTAAAACTGCAAGTGGGTGGTCACATTTCGGTGTGAAAAGTATGTCTTGAATAGTTGCACGGTTACTTGTATCAGGTTACCGCTTCAGTGGTACATGTATCAATTCATTGGTATATGTATCAGATCAGTGGTACATGTTCACGACAGTGTTGTCATTTGCCATACACTATAGGGTTGCACTTCACAACAGGGAGCGACAAAAAACGACGTGCGGTTCAAAGGAGAGAAAGGCTATACTTGATTTCCCTTGGTTTAGACTTCCCACAAACAATTTCATAGTGACTTCATGTTTATTTGTTGCATTGGCTGGATATTTTATTATTGTTGGCATTTTTCTTTTTTGATAACACATTCTACTCCACGATTAGTAGTGATACTAATGGAAAGTTGCTGGTATGTTTACGTATCGAATTGGTTGTACATATATCTGTTATGTGGTACGTGTATCTGTTCAGTGGTACATGTATCAGTTCATTGGTATATCAGTTCAGTGATACATATATCACTTCAATGGTACCACTCTAAAGTCTATCTATCACTGAAATGGGAACATTTAGGATGAGTTTCGATTTTGTACAGGTGCAATATATCTAACACTACAAGTGGATGGTCACATTTTGGTGTGGAAAGTATGCTTGAATAGTTGCCCTGGTACTTGTACCAGATCAGTGGTACATGTACCAGATCAGTGGTACATGCTCACGGGAGTGTCGCCGTCTCCCAGACTTTGTAGGGTTGCACTTCACAACAGGGAGCAGTAAGAAAGGATCTGTCGCCGCCATTCATGTTCTTCTTCATCTCCGATGGGTTCTCCTCCGACGAGAAACCCCCATGTATTCTTCTTCATCTCCGCCGCCGCCCTTCATGTTCTTCTTCATCCCCCGTGTCTCGTCCTTCGACGAAGAGCAACCCACCAGGCAGGTCGAAGGCGATCCCACCGTCGGCGAGCAACTCGATGGTTTCCGGCCGCCATCGATTTATGCAGAGGAGAGGGCCACCGTCAATTTCCGCAGAGGAGAGGGATGGGTTGCTATTTTTTCGGGAGGGAATATGGGAGCTGAAAAGGCACTTTCTCCCTTCAACATTTTTCTCCTTCCCCATTCATAATTATTATCACAATTAAGACTTTTCCAATTTACAAGATTACAAAAAATAAAATAAAAATCAACTTTCATTAATACAACTTACCAAATGATTAAATGGAAAGTGATCAATCAAGAAGAGGGTGTCAAAAAACAGACCCTTTTAGGGGTTAGCATAGTATCCCACCCCGTGGGGTCAGTGACTGTTGGTTGGTTGTCATTAGGGCTGTTAATGTCGAGCTATTCGTGAGCGGCTCGGTGTTAAACTCGATAAAAACTCGTTTGATTAAAAAAAAATCTCGGCTCATTAATAAACGGGTCGAGTTTGAGCTCTACCTTGTTCGGCTCGTGAAGCTTGTAAACTAGCTCAATCAGGTGGCTCGTTGAATACAACTCATGAGCTGTCTCGTTTTGAGCTTATGAGATGTCCCAACATTGTGACTAGAGAGCCAACTCGATTGCACCTTATGAGAAAATCGATCTATATTTTATGAGTTGGTTTGTTATGATGCATATAATTATTAAATTGTATATATCACCTCATATGGTGTTTAATACATTGAGTATATGTGAGCAAATACGTCTCATTTATGACATAACATTAGGTAATCACATGTGTCAGATATGATATATAAATATAAGGGCATTTATATATTATAAATTATCTTAGAGTTGAACTCGAGTCGAACTTTCAACCTTAATGATGTGTCATTATTTAATAAATGAGCTGGCTCGTGTTTGACTCAGCTCAACTCGTTTATAAAAGAGCCGAACATGAACAAGAAAAATCTCGGCTCGGCTCAGTTCATTAACAACCCTAGTGCCGTTAAATAATTGTTGCTAAAATTCCGGATAACCGTCGCTAAAATACGGTTTTGATGTAGTGAAAATCCGAGTTCATTTGATGTGGCCGACTCGCAAATTATGAGTTGCTCGCTTTATCCATTCAGCTATGAATGCTTAGTAGGGATCCTTGTACTGTTGTACATGGTCCATTTTAAATTGTGTGTTCCCTTTCTCTTTCCATATTTGGGGAGAGAGCTTACTAGAATCTATGGGTAGCTGGCATGATTCTTTTGTGTTTGCACGAATTTTTCAGGCATGTTGTTATATTATTTTTCAACTCGTTTACGACTATTCAACGGACCATAATTTATTCGTTTTACATCGGATTCAAAAAGATTTGCATAGAAATATCAGATTTTTTTATACTCTACAAATTGACAACCATTTGAATTTTTTTGAATAAAAAATGCACATGTTATCTTGCCACAGTAGTAAAATCATGATATGAATGATACCGTTACAGCAATCACATGTTTGTTTCTCAATGATATCATAGTGGTAGATCATGGTATAAAAATGATGAGATGAAATTATGAAGCCTTAGGT